TTCAGCAACGAACTTCCATCAGGGAAGCACAGTCGCCGCAACGCACCTATGCCAATGCCATTCAATGCCAAATATGCCATTTCATAATTGCTTCTACAAATTCAAGTCTTCATAAACGCCATAGCCACCTCTAATTATGCAATTTCAACTTTTTTGCCATTTCATCTTCTTATGCCATTGCGAATTAATTTTTCTCATCTACAACCGCCAAAGGATGGCGCCACTTATGCTATTACCAGGATTACCATCTTTAGATGGATAAGTTTTAATAGGATGCCCTTATCAGGGTAAGATAACTATGTATTGGTAAAGGCCCTTCTTAGGGCCGAATACCAATCAAATAGGCTTAGGATATGGATATGGATATGGGCTCCTGCCCAGGAACCCTTGTTTCGTGGCCTGCGGCCTCCTAAGAAGGGTGCAAATAGACGTCCAAACTCCTTGAGGCTCTGGCAACCAATCTTCCAAGAAGTTTATGGACAAGACAACGACAACAAAAGTCCTATTGAGTACTATTTGCATTTTTGAGATGGATTGGAAACTTTCCCCTTAATAATAAATCCATAGATGATTGACTTGAAGGCTGTTGAGAAATTGTCTTAAAGTCGCATAAATTTTTAGGCTAGAAAGCGTAACACTTTGCAGACAATCCAGTGACCCACTCTCTTGACAGTAAGATTCTAACAGCAAATAGTTAACTTTCTAATAAAATAGGCTGTTCATCAAGATATTTTTAACAAAAATTGGTAAATTTCTAAACAAATCTCAATTATAAGGATCAGAGAAACTACCATATCTCCAGCTTTCTTTAATGCGTTTTGCATATCAAAGAGTATTAATACCGATGTTTTCTTTTCAAAAATGTCATTCCCCATCATCGATTTACTTTGTATTTACGGAAACTGCTGATGTAAAGATGCAGATGACCATATTTTTCCAAGCAGCGGACAAGGCGGATATTTACCATTTTTTCAAGTATTTTTACATAGGATGCTTCTAAAAGGTGACAGGAGGATAGATTGAGAGATTCTTCAGGTCCTTTTCAGGTTTCACTTTTAAAAATGATATTTGTACAAGTATTTGAAAATGTTTTCTCTTCTCACACTATGTATTAGAGAAAGGAAGCTTAAAATGCAGATAGCTTATTAAATCCGGCTTAATTTAGATAAAAATATGAATTTCAGAAGCTAAATTGAAAATTGAATGTTAAGAATACATTACATTTGAGGGGGAGGAAAAAGAAAATCTGAAAAGATTTAGTTAACTTCATACCAGAAGGTTTGTAAAGGTTCTCCTCTCTCATTTAGCTCATATAGTATCTCACGTCTGCTCACAAAACTTTCTTTGTCTTTTTAGTTATCTTTATTAAACATCACTTTTTTTTACGCTTACGCCGTATAAAATTTAAGAGTAAAATTACAAAGTGAAATCTTTAGGAAAAAAATCTTTAATTTTTAATTAAATAATAAATCTTTAATTAATCTTAATCTTTAATTACTCCTTAATTAATTTTAAATCTTTAATTAAATAATAAAAATCTTTAAATAAATATTTAGTAAATCTTTAGAAATTCTCGATATAGTATTAAATATTGCCATGTATTTTTTATCTCAGAAGGCTATTATTCTCGAACAACATTTGTTCGTCAAATAATTTTTGTTGTACGTTTCACTTTTCAAATATCTAGCTGCTGGCACGGCCAGCCGTTTAAAATAGATACTGTAAAAAAAAGAATATATATAATGCTTTTAATAAATCCAGTTAGTGTAATTTCACGGGTCCAGCCCTCTCAGCACAGCCCCCATGAAGAAATAAGGCCAGTAAATGTCATCCATTCTTCTAACTACGGAAAAGGAATCTCGGCCCACACATCATGGAAAGATGACTCTGATATACAGGACAAATATTATGTTTATACGGATGGTTCAAAAGTTGACGGACAAGTAGGCTGTGGCCTTTTAGTAACTAAAAAAAAGGAAACACTGATAACATGGAAAGGTCATATGGGACAGAATAATTCAGTTTTCCAGGCTGAAGCAATTGCGATTCGCAAAGCTATCGAGTTAACAAGCCCCCCCAGCAGGATCCACTATTAATATTCTTACAGACAGCCTCTCGGTCATATATGCCTTACGAAATCCCAGACATCCTTCTCCTATCACAGCGGAGATTCCGGACATGCTAAAGGAGCGTTCGCCGACAATGAATATCCTCATATCTTGGATAAAGGCGCATGCCGGCATTCAAGGTAATGAGGAAGCCGACAGGCTAGCAAAAGAAGCAGCTCACAATATCGATGCACAAAACGTTATTACCAAACTCCCGTGGCCTCACCTTAAAAAAGTGACAAGGACAGCAGCTCAGCACCAGTGGCAATGGGAATGGGACACTACCGAACAAAGCAGGTACAAGTAGAAGCTAGGCCAGCACCTCCGTAGTACCACAGGTAATTGAGGTATTGCTGAACCTAGCTAACTGTTAAACTTTCCACCCCAATTTTGAGTGAGAACACCCCGGAAGGTGGTCCGAGGTTCTCCCGCCCCTCTTTTTTTACCACCAACCACTTGAGAGGTGTGTGTGTGTGTGATTATGGCAAAGCCTCGAGGGCTATCTGCCTAAGGGGAGGGATGCCGTCGTGGAGGACTTTCTAAGGGAAACTGGCTCGTATACACGTTACACATGGGGAAAACCACGAAAACGCCCATGCAGCCAGCCCGTTCGCGGGATTCGAACCTCGGACCGAACTACCAGTGTTCAGCGACTTTGCCGCTCGGCCGCTGGTGTGGGCCTCCCCTTGAGAGGACTTTCTGAGATAAATGAGTTCTGGTATTAATAGTGTACACAAATCATATTGAGAAAAGACTGTCCTTGAAAAGTTCAACAACTGATGCTTCGAAAAGCAGAAATGTAAGAATAAATGTCTTTTCTAAGGCGGAAGGTGTAATAAGCAAGTCTTTGGAGCTCCCGTCCATCAGCATTGCGTAGATAAATGAAACAACTGAAACATTAAAATGAAATAAAAAAATAAAAAATAATAAATAAAATAAATAAAGAAAAATAAAAAAATAAAAATATATAAATAAAATAAATAAAATAAAAAAGACAAATATGGTAAAGTAACATATGGAGATGAATAAGCATTAGATATGACAAATATCCAGTCCGAGTCTTTGGATATGTATAAGAACGTCTCTCATTTTGGCCCTAAGGTGTCTGCTCTTTATGGCATATTTCTTAAATAGTATTAGATTGTTGTTAGGCTTGATCAGATGTTTGCCGTCTGTTAGATTACAGTCAAAAATGTAATGATCAGGGTCACCCCTTTCGCTACATATGCAGAGATCCGTGGGGTACATGCCTCTGTCATGGAAGTAGGTGGGGAAAGGACCGTGCCCTGTGATATACTGATTCAGAACATGGTCATAGTGTAGGGCCTCTTTGCCAGTTTTTGAGAAAAAATTGTGGACTCTTCTGCCTTGCAATGCAGAATCCCACTCTTCTTGCCACTTTGAGTCGACAATTGCATTCAGTGTAAATTTTAAATGGGACTTAAGCAAACCGAACAAAGCAGGAAGACCTATGAATATTACCATAAAGTTTCGCTCGATCGTCTCAAGTCATCCCCACAAATAACGAGATTTGTGACGGAGCACGGTCCTTTCCCGTCCTATTACTATGAGCGAGGAATTGCAAATACCGAAAGTTGTGTTTGTGGAGGCATTGGTAAACCAGACCATTACTTGACCCAATGCCCTCTAACTGCACAGTGGCATGTGAAGCTTCCGGAACAGGCAATTTCTCATAAGCGTTATCTGATCAAACAGCCAGCATTTCGCATCAAAATATGCAAGATAATGCAGAAACTGGAGGAATTGGGAACAGATTTTTGCAGTGTGGAATAGTTCCCTGTCAATCTCTCTTCTCTCTCTCTCTTTTTTTTTTTAACTGTGTATATTGCGAAACATGTATGTATTACAGCCTACTGTATATATTATGAAACATGTATGTATTATGGCCAATGAAACTATTATGAACTATGTATGTACTCGTATTATGTAACAGGCTCAATATATTATGAACTATGTAAGCAAGTATGAACTATGTAAGCATGTATATGTATGAGAACTATGTAAGCATGTATATGTATGTAAGCAAGTATGAACTATGTAAGCATGTATAAGCATGTATATGTATGCACGTATTATGAAAGATCTATGTATTATGAACTACTTGTAAATAAGCATGTATTATGAACTATGTAACCATATATTATGAACTACGTAACTATAAGCATATATTATGAACTATGTAATTATAAGCATATATTATGAACTATATAAGCATATATACAGGATCAATGTATGCCCTTATAGGGCCCATGAGGTGTTACCCCGGATAGTTGCGGAACCTGAACTAGACCCGAATAGCCGCACGGATGTCCAGATTCTGCTCTCAACTGTCAACTGCTGATTAATAAAGAGATAAAGAACTGCATTTATTGCTTTTAAAATAGCTTCGTTTGTTAATAAATAACAGACAGATTAAATTAAAAGAAAATTTAATAAATAGCTTACACTTTGTAAAAATGGCAATAAACTGGCGCGTGGAAGTTAAAAATACTGTATATCTGATATCTTTAGAATTACCAACAAAATGTAGGGCAACATTTTACCAACGAAAGGTAAAATGTTACCCTACATTTTTCTACTTCTATGTTATTTCTTTAAAAAGAACATTTTAAAATAACATAGCGATAACATTCGGTTGCAACATCTGAAAAGTGCTACGGACAACAAAAAAGTGAAGTTTGAGACTAATCGTACTCCTGATGTTTAAAAAAAAAAAAAAATTATAGAGATTTGGTAAATATTTTAGAAAAAATAAATAAAATATAGAATAATTTTTTTCAATAGAGAAGAAAATTAAGTTAAAAGAAATGTGAAGAAATGAACTCATAATTCGGATAGTTGACTCTAGGAAAGAAAATATTTCGAACTTACCTGTTGATGGAGAAACTTTTGTCAGATTTCGACTTAAAGAACACGTGGATCAAGTCTGGAGTGATTATGAGTATGCAGGTGGTTATTTCTATGTGTTCCTTGTTTTTCAACCATGCTGGTACCAGCACTTTGCGAATGAACTTCGAAATGAAAAAGGAAATTACCATAAAATATTCCTGAAAAAAGCAACAATAATAACAATAAAACAACTTTGCTTAAGGTAGCAAAAGTGATTAAAGAGATTTCATTTTTGGCTAAGAATCTCATTGGTTGTTTCTTGGTAACGGATTTGTTGTAACGAAGTTGTTATGGTAACTGAATCATTGCTCCCTGTGCGTGATCGACACCTTTTCGTTTACAGCTCATCAGATGATTTGGACGTGACACGAATACTTTCATTGTCTGTTCCGGAATTCATGGGCATAAAAAAATGTAAATAAAAGAACAGAACTGCCGACACACACGCTATTGAAACTTTGTTTAACGTATAGATTGTGTTGTGGGATTTGTGTTTATTGGAGATGACTGCATTTGATTCACAGATTTGTCTCTTTCGTCTGTTTTGCTATCACGCAAATTGTATTGAAACATTTTGGTATATAAGCCAACCGGGCGTTTTATTTATGCATTTACTGCATTTCTGAAAGCGCAAAATTCCTTTAGACTTTTCTCATTGAAATTTAAACTACGCCCCTCTTGTTCATTTTGGGATTGATAAAAATTCAAGTGAAGTATTAATATAGAATCTTCTGGTAAACAATTGCATTATTCAGTTGTGCTGATTCCAAATTAAGATTCTCAGATAAATAACTGTCGAGCTTTTTCAGCATTTAAAGAAATTTGCTAAATATTTTAAAAATTAAGCGCAAGACGCAAAATCTCAAACAACTTTTGTAAATTTTTGGAACAGAAATATACCAAATTATGAGGTGAATAAATTGAATAAAATTTGCAAGATAAACATAATAAAATGCTTCATTTGCGTTCAAGAATATTAATGCTCAAGAAAAGGTTTTGTTTAAAGTTCAGGACTGTTAGCATAGGTTATTTATTACCGCAAAGCTTTTGACGGATATCTGCCTCGAAAGAGATGCCTTCGTGGAGGATATTTTAGGAAAATTTAAAATTAACTCATATTTCCATTGCAGGGAAAATATCAATGAAAATAACATGGAAACTCCCAATCCAGCATCAGCTGAAAGATGAATTGCCAATGCTTATGTATTCACTCAGTTATTCTATCTACACTCTACAACCCCATGCCTGATAACAGGCCTGATATTATGCTTAAGCTATTATTGCGTTATAAGGTATTTCTCCCACCTTCTTCGCGAGCCTTCGTTATGTAACGCATAATTGAGAGGTCCGCGGTTCGATTCGCGGCGAAGGCGTTGCTAATTTTTCATTTCTCTTGCTTTCCCCCCCCCAAAAAAAAATTCCTGATGTGTCTACAGCTTATCTCTTGGAGAAGGAAGTAACCGCGGTAGTTGTGCCCCGCGGCCAAGGACCGGAAGGGAGACGCCTTTGAAGGATTATTCACATTGCAATTGGAATTCTGCATTGCTACAAGTGAACAGTATATCATAAGCTTAAAACATGTACTGCCTGAATTATAGGATTATTTACATCAATTTCATAGACACATATTTTGCCAGACATTATAGAAACTTTTTACAGAATATGTGTAAATATCAAAATAGTAATTCACAGAAACATTTACATACTGTTTACAAGATCGTGATTCAGACAAGGTGAAAAAACATGTGCTTTACAGAGTAGAGATGATATACTAATCATTTAAATATATAAGTAAATAAGAAATACGATAAAAATTAAACGCTGCATAAGACTGAACCATGTTCTTCACAGTAAAGAGCTCTAACTTAGGAGCAATGTGCTGTGCCAAAGACCTAAATATTATCAGCATTAGCATTAATATATGCAGTTACCTTGACAATTTTCTTTAGACCTATTTCATTTTCCTCTAGTCGAACTGTCCAGGTCTAAACATTTCTTTCAGAAGGTTCTGAGAGATGCATGTCCTGTGTTAGGGAGCTTTCATGTAAGTAAAGTCTCAAATTGCTTACTTGTTTTATAAGGTATTTCTCCCACTTCCCTAGCGTGCCTTCGTGGTGTGACGATAGCACGCTGGGCCGGTATTCCAGAGGTCAGTGGTTCTATTCCCGGCGAAGGCGGCTGCATATTTTTCATCTTTTCTGCTTCCAATTAACCTAATGACTCTACAGTTTTACTTACCACAGAAGCCCTGATTCAGATCTCTAAAGCCAAATCCACGTAGATAGGCCGATGTAGGTTAGTGTTCAGTGTACAGCTAGGTCAGCATGGAGTTTTCTGATTTTAAGGCTGATTAGACTAGTAAAGAATAGTGATGGGTGATACGCTCCGTTGTCTTTGTTTCATTGCCTTTTACAGCTGTTATCCGCATTTATTTTAAGTTTTCTTTTCAGTGTTGACTGCAGCATGAGAGTATATTCAGTAACCGGGAGCGTGCATTTTTTTGCTACCTTTGCCAGCGTGTACGCCCTTTCATTTTCCTTGTGCCACAAGTGAGCTTTAATCTGTTGCACAGTAATGAGATCATCACTACTGAAGAGAAATTTCCTGATAAAGTATACCAGGGCATTTTTAGAAGTACAACTCTAGAACAGTTATAGACGGTCTGTCTAGTAGCTTCAATACTAGACAGACCGTCTATAACTGTTCTAGAGTTTCTATTGAGAGCTTATTTTACTATTTTGGGAACTGGAAATAATTCTGCCTGAAAAAAGTTTCAGTAGTAGTAACTAACTACTGAAACTTTTTTTCAGTAGTTTCTTTGAGAAAAGTAGAGTTTTTTAAAATGGTTGACCATTGAAAAATATAGTTATTCCCCTTTTTCATGCGGAAGGGACTGGCTTGTACGGTACTTGTACTCTATTTTTAACCATAAGATTTTTGCCGCTATGCCTCGTTCTTGCGCTACCACATATAATGGTTTGAGGCTCGAAAATTGAGTGTGCATTTATCGACACAGTCCTGTAAGCTCTGGTGATTAAGAGGGCTATTCGCCTTTGCAGGCTGAGAATTTTTCTTACTTTATGTGTATTTAACATCGCACGCTAAATTGATGCTCCATGGCAGACAGTTGGTATTGTCGCCGCATGATATCACATTTTTAGGAGTGCTAAGGAGATGCTCCAGGTTTTTCCTGTTATCCGGAGCTCAACTGTCAAGATGTTTTACCTTTCAAGTGTAATCTAAATAATCATCTAAATACTAAAATAGTTCATTGCTTTGCTTATCCTTGCGATTAAATCTTTTTATTAAATTGGCCGCCACTCAGTTACTACTGGCCTAATTTTGCATTGAATTTGAATACTTTTTTTTTTTTTTTTTTTAATATGGTTCTGAGGAAGCGAATGAAGTATTTTCAACAACGGCCAACTCCTGGAATTTCGCTACAGGAAGACTAAAAAAAGGACTTTTAAGGAAGTAACGAATTTCTGTGAATTACGTTGTCATTTCCCGGCCGTGAAAATAACTCCAAACAAGAGATACGGCCATTCAAAAACATATTTCAGGCGATCTAATGTTTATTCAACGACTAACAGATAGCATCAACAAATCGCCAACAGATAGCATCAGCTACTGGTACTTTAGTTGTAGAACAATTAATACCCACTAGTACAGTGAAGCGGAGTCTGTATGAAAAAAATCTGTATTTAGACATTTTTATATATATTAGACATTCTGCCAGACAAGCATAATAAAAATGGTGCCTTCAGCACTGATTTGGTCCTAAGCTCAATGGTGAAAATTCTTCATAACAGATAAATCGGACTTATTCTGAATAATACGCAATTGGTTTGGAAGCAACAAGAAATAAGTAGCTAATCTATCAACATCGCTGAATGCCATATCTTTAGCTGTGGTAATGTGATGGTCATGGTAGATTTTCTACTGGAATAAATGCATCGAATTTTCTCATGTTCATAGATAGTGCTATGATCACCGGGAACTGATAGAAGACAATGCTTGCCCACATGAAACGAATCTTGTTTAGGATAACTTTGATAATGAAAGTACTGAACAAATTAGGTGCTCACTACACTTTTCGGATTACAATTCGATTGAAAATTTTTGGTATATCCTGAAAACTGGAGAGAATGAGAACGCATGACTAGCCGAGTAAGATAGTTAAATTAGTCGTAGCAACGTGATAACATGAGCTGGATGTTCTTGATATTGCCCTAATTGACACATATTTAAAATAGATAATGTGATGAAGAGATTAAATTATTGAAATCAAGTAAATCCGGAGAACTTTGTGAGAATCTGTGCTGCACCAGTGAGCTAGAGTGCGTCCAAACTGTGCTCCGCGGGGAATTGTGGCTTCTTCACAAGGGCGCCGCGAAATATTACAAAAGTTTCATAAGTAACTGAACCAAGACATTTGATCTAACTAAACGAAAAACAAAGTGAGAAGCTAAAAATATCTAGATTTTTTTTCTGTCTTTTATTTTTACATGACCTTGCATAAAAGTAAAGTCACGAGTGCAGAATATTCTTGCGAACGCAAGTCGGCAATGCTGCCACTTCTCAATTGCGCCATATGATTACGTTATACCTCTATTACGTTATACAGTCTAACCTGAGAGCATGTGTAAGGCTAGAATGACCTTTTCATGGCTCAATCCGTAAAAAAACCATGAACTTTTCTTCGTATTGTTGATAAAGTTAGCTCATCCTGTCGTTTGATATGGGTTTGCCTGTACCGATTTTCAGAGGTCGCTTTTTCCCCAGAGTCGGAAGTACACTATTTTCTATCAAGTCGAATTTCATGAGATTTATGCTTGTTGCAGAAATGCCATTCATATCAACAGTAAAAGTAACAATTTCGTTACCGGATTTATTAGGAAAATGCACCCGTAATTTGACAAAAACACTCATTACAATAATCTTAGCGAAACTGCTTAGTGGTTATTCAGCCTTATATGAGGTTTTGAAATTATACATATATGTTGCCCATTAGCTTGCTTCCGGGACTAAAAAAGGTCTTTGAGAGATTAATCTACAGCAGATTGAAAAACTATATTGAATTACTGCCTCCGGAACAATTTGGTTTCCGGAGAAAGCTTTCAACAACGAAGCAGCTG